GGATATGAATAAATTAATAATAAATAAAAAAATTATTATGATTGCATAAGCACAGACTTGTAAAAAACAAATTGAAACGTATAAAAAGGTAAAAACAGTGTAGGAAATTCGATATTCTCGATGTCTCTGAGAACAACATTTTTTTAATTTTTTAATTAAAAAAATTTTTTTAAGAACATTAAAGTCAGTGTTTCTATTGATTAAGAAATAACGTATACACACAAATCTTAATTTGAAAAAAAAACAACGTACGTACACTATTTAGGTTGAGAAACGACGCAGAACAATGGAAAGTTCAGGCTCTTCCCAGCTTATATTTAAGTTATTAGACCCTGTCCCTCAGTATGTATTGGGCTGCTTACCAGCCATAGTAATAATAGGCGCATCACCGAAAAATAGGTTTATGGTAAAGTTAGCATGGTTATTTCGATGCCTTGGGTGCCCATTTACAGGGTTGCTTTACTCTATCAACATAGGGTGTGATGAAGTATCACGATGCGTGTATTGGCTTTCATTTGATAAATTTGTTACTAATGAAGTGCTGCGCCAAAATATAATAGACCTTTTGTAGTTAATGATAGTCAAATCCAAAATGCAGATGTAAAAAGCAATATAGATCAATGCACAGCAACGGCATCTGTGTTGGAAAGATTGTCTTCATTGGCACCCCTATATTTTATTGTAGTTGGAGTATTAGCAGGAATTTCTAAGACGATGGGAACGATTAGCTGTCAAGGTTGGCCATATATACCTTTATTATTATCCTGGACAATCCCAGCAATTTTGAGAAGAGCATTTTCAGAAAGTATAATAATTGAAAAATCTCAAATAATAATTAATGAAGACCAAGAAAGTAGAACGCATAAACGTTATACCGTTGCTGTAACCGCCTTTATATCGATATTTTATCCTTGGATAGCTGTATTTTTAGCTTATTTTACACCCCCAATCGGATACTATTGTCGTAGTAAATTTATTACAGTATTCTGTACCATATGGTCATTTAATAGTATTTTAGCAGTTTTGTGCTACCGCATAGGAGAAAACAACTTAACCAGTAGTAGTCGAAGATACTATCATATTTGGTTTGCTTTTTGTGGGGTTATAGTAGCAATTCTTTTGCTAGTCCTAGGTTTGCTTGCTAAAAATAATCAATGGTGGGTAGATGTATTTGGAAATTCATGTAGCGTTGCAAGCATAGGATGCATGTGAAATTTTTTTCTCAATTTACCTAAAATTGCAGAAAGTAAAGAATTATATTTTAATACAATTATAACTAAGTTTATCTCTACTGGACATTTTCTAATCTGAGTTATATCCACATTTTTTAGCAGAATAAATTGTCTAAATTAATTTTACTTGATTTATATCCAATTTTTATTAGCAGAATAAAATTTCTATATTAAGTTTACTTGATTTATATCCCATTGATGATAATTTTTAATTATACCCCTATCCTCAGTAATATGATTAAATAGTATATGAATAATATCTAAAATACCTAAGATATATCCCCAATGTTATACGAATAATATTATTGGTTGATAATTTCTTGTTATTTAATGGATATCTGTGGATACGGGATATTCCATAGGATAATAGTAAAATCACGTGGCCGTAGGCCACGTGGTTTACAATTATTCTGTGAAAAACCCGTGTCCACAGATATTCATTAAATAACTAGTTTATCCCATGGGTACGACGTAACAACCCGTGCAACACATTATAAATTAAACTTTTTTTCCCTCTCGTGTAGAGAACACTAACAAATATTTATTATACTAGTTACATCAACTTTTAAGGATTATCTCAAAAACTTTATAAATTTCCGTTTGACCTGTTGACCCAGGGTCAAATACCTGATCCATCCAGGTCGGTATTTTCTGACCTGTGTCAAAGCTCTACGGTAATGATCATACTGGTCCTGCGAAGCACTACGTGCTGTGTAGCTACCTTATCTTGATATGCTTGATTGATAAATATTGTGACATTATCATCGATCTGGAATAACACCTTGACAAAAAAATAGGTTGCATCGAATCTTGTATAATTATAAAGATCGTTGAACCTACATTCCTGGTTTCAGTACGACAGCGTCGCACAGCTACCTTATATAGTTACTATGGCAAGTTAAGTGATGTGCGTCCGCAAAATCTTAAATCCAATTTGATGATGCATAAAATGGTGAAGAAACGTGAAATTTTGCTGTTAAGCTTCACGATATGATGTATCACACGGCCCTACATTTTGGTTTCAAATTTTTATATTGTACAAATTTTACCTTGATTATGATTGGTGAATTCTAGCAGTCCACGGTTATCAAGTTCAGTCTGGGTTGGGACTAGACTTTTTGAGATTAGTATTAGTCAGAACTACCGTAATGTGCCATATAAAAGATCCCCCTATACATCAGATCCCCCATGAATTAGACCCGGGTCTATAATATAGGATAAAATTTTGTAAAATATAAGAGACCCGGGTATACAAATAGGAAAATACTAAGAGAAATAGAATAAACCCCAATTATCATACCCACACCCATACAAAAGACCCCCGGGTCTAAATCTAGGTTTGAAAATTGGTGGAATGTAACAGACCCGGGTCGCTTATATGGCACATTACAGTAGTTCGAAAACTAGTTAAGGAAACTACATATGTAGTATAAATTTCCTCAAACAGGTATGAAAAAAATGGCATTTACTGCTTGGGATTATTATGTATTCTGATTGGTAAGTTTTGAATCGAGATTAGTTAGTGCTTTTTTTGTTTGTTTCTTTTTTTTTCCTTATGATATTAAATGTGTTAAACCGTTAGTGTAAAATCATTTTCAAACAGGGCATGGATTAATTCCTTAATTAGTTTGTGAGCGGAATGCACCAGGCTGAACCAGGCAGATAACTTAATGTCATCAGCTAATTCTTTTTAAATTTAAGGGCGTTACTTGGTCTTCAATATTTATTCTTATCGTTGAATTGTATATTCTAAATTTGTAAATCATACAGGTTTTTATCTCAATTGATTATCATTTAAGAAAGATGCATTTTATGATCATTTAAGAAAGATGCATTTTATTAGTGCTTTCTGTTGACTTTTTGACTTCGAGCTAACCGAATGTAGGATCTTTATTGGTTTCTTATATTGTCTAATATAATTGCTATATCGAGTTCTGGGTGGTAACCCGGTGTGGCTATGTTGAATTCAGGTAATTCGATCAATTTAATTGATTATGCGCTGGAATTAACAGTTCTCCGACAGCTGAGGTTGGGCAGTATAATGTTGGCTCTATTTATATATGAGAATATATAGAAAATAAGTGTGCTATTTTCAAATGCCCTATCTTGGTCCGTATATATTTTATATTAGACAAATAAGGTAGCTGCACGATGCTGTCACGCGAAACCAGGAACATAAATTTATGAATTAACTTGATTAGATAATTTAAGTAATTTTGAGATTATATGAATAGAAAAATTATGAATAGAGTTTGAATTGGTTTTATTTTTTTAGGATGAAAAAAAATTAATTGGTTTTATTATAAGAACGTCTAGAACTGGTTTAGAATTTTATTATGATTTTGATTTGTGGTGTACAAAAAATTTGTGATGTGTGTTATTGTTTATCAGGAAATTGGTAATCGAAAGTGTGTAATTGTAAGATGTTATGGTTGATTTGTATTAATGATATAGCTAATTTACTATTGTACGTATAATTTTTATTTACTAAATATTGTGGATTATTTTTATAAAGGAATATAATCAGCTATGAAACGTTTTATTTATTGGTAATGCTTTTACTTCTTTTTGATAAAGTGGTAAATATATTGATCTATATAGTTAGACTGATTGGTTGAATGATTAGATTGTAATGATAGTTTGTTATGGTAAGATTTTCAAAATTTTTATTATATTTGGGTTGTATTTATTTTTTTTGATTATTATGATATAATTTAAGAAGGTTAGATTGGTTATTTGTGAATAAATTTTATGGTTGAAAATATAGATTTTTGACAATAGAAAAAGAAATATTTTAATATTTAACTATAAATAAATTTATTATTATTTATTATTATTTGATTAGATGGCTTTATTAAAAAAAGTAAGAAAATATGAGAATTTGTTTGCTATTATTATAGGTTTAATTTTTATAATTAAATAGTGTTTTGATTATTTGAGTTTTAATATAATTAAAGTTTTGTTATTAAGAAATTGTTTCTAACATACTTAAAATAGTGTTAGTAAGAAATTATTTTAAGATATTTAAAAGTATATTAGTTAAAAAACTATTTTTAATATATTTAAAACTGTATTAGCAAGAATTGTTTTTGACATATTTATACTTATGTTTGAAATGTATTATTTTTAATATATTTAGAATTGTATTGGTAAGAAATTACTTTTTATATATCTAAGATTGTATTAACAAGAAATTAATTCTAACATATCAAAATTGGATTATCATTTATAATTTTTATATTATAAATAAAATAAACATTTTTATATTATTTTTAAATTAATAAAATATTAATAATAAATTATATTTATAATAAATGTAATTTTTATATGTAAGTACTTAATTGCGATTTAAATTTTATAGGTGATAATCGAAGGCTGTTAATATAAAAGTTTATTATACAGTCAGTCCATTAAATAAATCAATTATTTTATAGTACTTTTTTATATGATAAAATTATTGATTTTGTTTCATAAATTGAGATAGTAAATTATTGAATAAAATCGCTATTGCATGTATTAACTGCTGATCATTCTGTAACGTAGCAGTGTTGGTTGGGTTATTAACCAACGATTATTGGCATAAAATGCAGTAGTTATTGGATAGTTGGCATGTAATAACTATATGATATTTATTCAAGATTAGTTAGTGCATAAATGTTTTATTTAATTTATAGATTTTTAGTTCTATACATAATGTATTAGTACAATATAATAGATATTATATTCGTTTTTAACTTTTTTTAAGTAATTCAAGTGCGTAGTTATAGTATAGAAGTTTATTTGATCAAGAATATATGTGAGGGAGATTAGTAAGAGTTGATATAGATAAAGGGAAAAGTTTAGAAATAGATTTATATTGTTTTGAACAAATAATGAATAAATAATAAATCGTTCACATGAATATGATTAAATGTTAGGGCTTTGATATTATGTATATATCGACTAAGTTTTTTGATCGAGTATTCATTCTTTCTAAATATATGTTTTATGAAAAGCTCCCCTAATTGCACGTCTTTAATTGCGGCCCAACTAATATAATAGTTATAGATTTTTGTTTCTTTAAATGCAATGCTTTTCTAAATGCATATTTGACTAAGTCATAATGCATTTAGAGAGCTTTGACTGTACTATTCTTTGTGCTAATGTTTTTGCATTAAAAATTTGTTGTTATACGGGTTTAAATTAATCAAAATATCGAGCGAAGAAAAAAGACACTATCGATCTCAATCTTTTCCCCCTTAATTTTATATCGTAACTTACCCTTCCTATCTTCCTTCTAACCATAATTAGCACCAGATTTACGCCATTAAACTTGCATGTGAAGATATGCATTAGGTTAGTATCAATCTGGAACGATCTGAGAAATCATAACAATTATGAAAAAAGTACGTTCGAGACATTTCGTGTGTGTACTATTTTAAGTTAATGCAAAATGTATTTTCTTGTAATTTTTGAATGTTTTTGTCTTAATTTGTACTTTTGTTTTTTGTTTGGAATTACGCTTTTTTTTCTCTGGATTTTTTGCTGATTTGATTAATTGATAATCGATGATCGTCAAAGAACATGGCGAAAGGCAAAAAAACTACAACGAAAGAATCGTGAACTCAGCCCTCTCAGCCCCCTGACCAACAAAAATTTACGTGATCTGTCATTCTATCGCCACAACGGAGATCAATTTCATGCTTCGCCACATTCTGAAAATGTGCACAATAGCAATTTAGATTCGGATCAAACATCCAGTAACAGTTTTATTTAGCAGGTGATAAGATCATACTGTACTGTAATCCTACGGTTGTACGAATCATAGTATGATCGTTTCATATGACAAATAAAAGATTTAATGTAAAAGTTACGTACGTGCATACGTACATGCATACGTACAATTTTGTAATTTTATTGAATCTATTATGCCGAGATAATAACTTAAACCGGATCGGCCGAAAAATTATTCGCTAATTTTTATCAGTGTTTCAGAAATTATGATAATAGCAGTAAGAAAAATTTTCTTTCCGAAATAAAAGTAAGAATAAAATAAACAAACCTATTATCTTGGCATATTATGGGCGGCGGAGCCGCCCGTATGATCATGTTCTAATTACCAGTTACAATAATAAAACGTGAATGATTATCACCCATCGATCATATTTGTGCTCCGCCTCAACTTATCGACTTGACCAAAAAAATTATTAATTAATGCCAAATCACAACATATACTTTTAATCAATTCTAGTACACAACTATATTTGATTGAATATATGTCACACTTTAAGCATTATAATTCAAAACTGCAAGCGGGCGACGAAGTCACCCACAAATATAACATTGCTAGTTTATTAATATTAATACAGTATTTTATTTTTTATGATACGATTTATGATATTTATAAAATTTTAGGGTCTGGTAAGCAAAATTGTAACAATTTTATATCTTTTCAGAAAAACTTATCTAAACGCGACGATGAAATGGCGATCAGTGTTTTGATTCAGTCTATCAATTCAAGTTTCATTTGTTCCATTTTATTCTACCATCCATTTTTTCCTTGATACATTTCTTTAATACGCGTTTGTTTACTTCTATCGGTAAGGGTGTGTTCAGAAGCAATTTTTGAGGCAAACGGTCTTTTTAACTTACTTTTGCTAATAATTTAAGATTTTTCGATTAACAATCATCCAAGCCTTCGATGATCTTGCATATTAATCAACTCAAACTTCCAATCCTTTATCAAGGGTAAATTTAACACATTTTTGAAAAACACACCTTTAAATTTACACCCGAGGCCAATTGTGGAATAGTAAGAAAAAAATTAGTGAAAATAATAAATATCATAAAATAGTTCCCAAGAAATTAAAACCATTACGGATTATCATTCTTTCTAAACCAACACGTGCAAATATGAACCGATCAGTGGGTCGATGAGCAACTGCATGCACAAACAGATCTACGGGTTGATAAGTCAAAACGAAAATTTGTAAATATGGACAGATCTACGGGTTGATGAGACGAAATATTGTATTATAGAAATAAGATATATAGATATAGATATAGATATAATATAATATATATATATATATATATAATATATAAAAGAATATAAAATTATAATCTCTATCGACACATCACTTGGATTTTACGAAAGATGAAAGGATGTCAAAATTATCTAGGACATATCCCCTACTTTCCTAAGAAACTCAAGACTGAGCATTTATCTGTCTACATATTCAAAGTAATATTCTGGTTTTTTGGATTATTCGCAATTGTTATGTACCTAAAAGTTCAAATAGTTGCCATTGCTGTGGACATTCCACTAATCCAAACAACCTTAAAATATAGCGATACTCTTCCTGTGCCAGGTAAAATAAAAGTCAACTATCTTTACATTCTGTCTCGATCAATAATCCAAACAACGAAATAACATTATTTTAGTTATTGTTGTATGGGGAACTGCTCAAGCTCAATTTCAAATGAAATCGGCGTTATCATGCAATTAACTTGCTATGGTTCTATATTTTTTTTCATGTCATAAAAAAAAATAGCAAAGAAAAATCAAAGCCATATTCATATATGTTTGCACAATCATTGAATCTTTTTTTTTTGCACATAATAGATAAAAATTATGCACCTATTCAATCCAAAGATTGTGATGCTTTAATCCAAAACCTAACATATGGCAAATTCTTCTCACCTAATTATGAATACCAGTTCTATGAGAATGATACAGATATACATGATGTGAACTTTTTTATTGATTATCAAGGAAATGATACGTTAAATTTTATTGTTCGTGATCAAGGTAAGAAATTGGAATCGATTCTAAAAACAGATTTAATTGTTTCTTATCTCAAAATCGATTTTAATTGATTTCAGAATTAGCAATTAATTCTTATCCATACTATTTTGCATTTATTTATGTCATTTTTCAAAATTACGTACCAGATTGGGATATAACATCAGTGTTCAGTGAATCAAATCTATCTCTTTCGAATTATATTAATAATTTTACTTTGAGAAATGATGATGTGGAACCTTTCTTTATGAAGTCTATCGATTTTTCAAACACATATGTGCTCGGCAAAGATTCGGCAAGTTTCTTCTTGTTTAATAAAGCATACTTTTTACTTCTGAATGATTGATGTTAATATAATTTTTATTTTAGTTTAATACAATAACATTT